GTAGTTCGGGTGAGCTGGGAACGTCTGGAGGAGACCCAAGTTCAGGAGGCCTTCAACTCACACCTCCGGCGGAGCTTTTCGGGCATTCCTGTGGAGGTTGGGGACATTGAACCAGAGTGGTCGGTGTTCAAAGCCTCTATTGCCGAAGCCGCGGCGGGGAGCTGTGGTCTCAAGGTCCTAGGTGCCTCAAGGGGCGGTAACCCTCGAACCTCCTGGTGGACACCGGTGGTCAGGGAAGCCGTCCGACTGAAGAAGGAGGCCTTCAGGGATTTGTTATCCCGGGGGACTCCCGAGGCAGTTGCAAGGTACCGACAGGCCCGAAGGGCAGCAGCCTCAGCCGTGGCCGAGGCAAAGCAGCGGGTGTGGGAGAAGTTCGGAGAAGACATGGAAAAGGACTTTCGGGCGGCACCAAAGTTGTTCTGGAAAACTGTCCGACACCTCAGGAGGGGGAAGCAGGGAACCATCCAAGCTGTGTATAGTAAGGATGGGACGTTGTTGACCTCAACTGATGGAGTGTTAGGGCGTTGGAAGGAACACTTTGAGGAACTCCTGAACCCGACAACTCCGCCCTCTATGTTAGAGGCAGAGCTGGAGTATGACGGGGGATCAACACCAATCTCCCGAGGGGAGGTCACTGAGGTCGTCATACAACTCCACAGTGGCAAAGCCCCGGGGGTGGATGAGATCCGCCCAGAAATGCTGAAGGCTCTGGGTGTTGAGGGACTGTCATGGTTGACACGTCTCATCAACGTTGCGTGGATGTCGGAAACAGTACCGAAGGAGTGGCAGACCGGGGTGGTGGTTCCCCTTTTCAAAAAGGGGGATCAGAGGGTGTGTGCCAATTACAGAGTCATCACACTACTCAGCCTCCCCGGGAAAGTTTACTCTAAGGTACTCGAAAGGAGGGTCAGGCCGATTGTCGAACCTCAGATTGAGGAGGAACAATGCGGATTCCGTCCTGGTCGTGGAACGACGAATCAGCTTTTTACTCTCGCAAGGATCCTGGAGGGGGCCTGGGAGTACGCTTATGCGGTCGACGAAAGTTGATGAATATAGATAAAGGCCAACAGCTTTTACATTTCAAGTTGCAGCCTTGTAAGCAATTTACATGTTAAAGCACTGAAGCAGTTAATCTTTCAGTTAGGGGTATAAAAAGCAATTGAAATGTAACAATGACTCACCTGGAATGTCTGCTGGTGTGTAACCTTGTCTCTGGCCAAAATAAGTTAAGGTATAACTTTCATTCCTGCTACTTCTTTGTCACCTCCTCATATTTCAAACACCTGTGTGGTCTCATTTGTCTCCATGTGTAAGAACCGGTGGAACGGGTTGAGGAGCTTAGAGGGGATGCAGTAAGGAGGTAAGGTCTGCTGCCCACAGCCCGTTGAGAGTCACAGAAGGGTATAAGTGTGCCATCTTTGACCAGGCTAATGATTTCCCAACCTCTGACATGAAATACAGTCAACTTGCAGTCAGATCTGACGCTGAGAATAAACTATACAAAAATAAATATATAGCCCAACAACCAGAAAAGGTCAGAGCCAACGTGTCATTTTTGTTCACAAGGGCAAATGCAAAATGACAGAGCATTTTTTCCCGTATCACTTGAGTTCATCTAGCAGCGCAGGTGTGTCGGGGGAGGAGGAGGAGGGTAGGAGGGGATTTTGGCAGCTCTACACAGACTGTGAGCTCAGTTTGAAGATTTCCAACTTCACAGAGACATGCATTCTCTGCTTCCTTTCCTCTACCTGTTCTCGGCTTGGACAAAAGGAGCATGGGCTGCGGACCCCACCATGCCCTTCATGGAGTACCTGGATGAAAAACATATGGTCTGCCTAATGTGGGGCTTTGATAACCTGAAAGGAAACATCACATTCAAGCTGGAGGTCAACACAACAGGTTGGGTGGGCTTTGGATTTAGTCCGAATGGAGGCATGAAGGGGGCAGACATGGTCATAGGGGGAGTTGGGCCCGATGGAAGTTACTTCACAGTAAGTCATTATTAGATATTAACATGTGAAGGTTGTTTTTCTTTTCATTACAGGCAAAATATGTGTTGGACAGCAAGCACAACATAATATCTTTCGGCTGTGTGAAAGTTGTGCATTTTTTGTCCATTAGGATCGACATGCATTGGGAAATGTTGAGCCCTTGGTGGACGAGCAGCAAAGCTACACTCTCCTCTCTATGAATGAAAAAGATGGCCAAACCATCATGTCCTTTCGGAGGTCCATTCAGTCGTGTGATAAGGAGGACTTCCTTATTACTGTAAGTACATTCGGATATTTTGTCTTTCATCTTACAGTAAATATATTCTGCATGTGTGGTATTTAGTATTGGCTACGGGGTTGGGGTATAGTAAACTCACAACACAAGTTGACCGTGGTGACTTTCCATTATCAGGATCTGGAAATATTTGTCAGGGTATATTTCCAAATAACACTGAAAAAATTATGAGATTGAAAATGTCCGAAAAAGGTCAGCCCAGTTAAAACTTTATAAAGTGCAAAAGATGTAAGCATTTTGAGTTACCCCATCGCAAATTCCACTCTTTCCATGGGAACAAAACATGCTGCATTACTCTCCAGCTCATTGTTACTATAACTTAGCCTTTGATTGTTTTTACAGCTTAAAGCTCAGGTTTCCTGCTAGTATCCATGTTACCTGTGTCATAGGATTTCTTTTGTTAGGTTCACCTGAATCTTCGTCAACAACTTGAAGAAGCATTGAATTGGGTGTTTTCAGAAGACAATAGCAACAAAAGAAAAAGGAGCTCAAGATTTTGTTTTGCGTTGAAAGTACTACACAACTTTGGTGATAAACCTTGTTGTATGTGTTGACATATCCTTGTTAAATACAAGGTCGCAACGTCGATCTTGCCTGTAATTTCAATTTTTAAAAAAAAGGTAATTATGTTGGTAAATGTATAAGGTTTTCCACTGAATTACACCCCTTTCATGTTGCTGCTTTTGTAGCGTATCATATTTGCTGACTAAGACGGTTCTCTCTTTTACAGGCTCAACCTATTAAACTGATTTACGCCTACGGATTAACAGACGAAATAAAATACCACAGGGACAATAGAGGCACAAAGGAGGTCAACCTGCTGGAATATATGCCCAGGACGACCTCAACCAACCTCAACTTCCTCAGCGCCACAATGGACAATGTACGAATAATTTAGAAATGTGATGACAATGATACACAATGCTTACTTGTGGGACCATTTTTGGATTTTCTTAATTATTTATATTGCCCTTTCAAGTAATCATCCATCCATCTATCCATCTATCTATTCATATCTATCTATCTATCTATCTATCTTGCCTTTTTACTTTATTGTTTTATCAGATCACTGTCCCGGCTTACCGTACCTACTACTACTGCAAGTACATGAAGTTGAACTTAACTACAAAACATCATATATATATGGTAATCATCCCTTCTTTTTGTCATCACACCCATCAACTGTCAGGTTTTGTTTGGATTAAAGTTCAATAGCAAAACAAGTCTTACATACGTATACAATGAAAATACTGAATTGATAATAAGCAAGTGTCATTTATTAATCTCTAACAATGGGAAACATGACTAATCCTTCTCCCAAAACAAAATGGACTACAACCATCATGGTCTTTTTAAATATGTCATCCTTCATTTGCTGCTCTCTTACTCTTCTAATTCTTCCTCAGATTGAACCTGTGATCGAGCAGATTGACATCGTGCATCACATGCTGCTGCACCGCTGCCCCTCCTTTGTGATGGAGGAGGACGACAGGCCGTGCTACATGGGCGACATGGGAGATACCTGCTTTGGGGTGGTGGCTGCATGGGCCGTGGGAGGAGGGGTGAGAAAGTATCAAGGGTCTCTCTATGAATGCTTAAATGCTTGCCAGTGTTTTGTGTGTGCAAAGTGATTCACGTTGTTTTCCTGAAACCCTCAGGTATTTGAGCTTCCAGAAAATGTTGGTATTCCGATTGGAGGTGCGGACAGTGGTACCATTTATAGACTGGAAATCCACTACAATAACCCAAGAAAAGAAGCGGGTACAGTAGATCATTTTTACTCAGTCTATCTTTAAAGACTGAGTGAAAATGTAAAAATGTTTTTCTCAACAATGTTTTAGTAAAGTGTTATATAATGTCTAATGCAGTAGACATCATATCCACAAAGGCATGATTTGGCATTAATAAGAAAAAATGTTTAATTATTGGTCATTTGCTGACTATTGGCTGGACACTAATATAAATCTGCTGCCTGCCTTGACTCCTCTTCATTGGCTATTCAAGCTATTTTCTCATAACATTGTGTGTTGGGTGACATCCCATTTGGAAAAGACAAGATGTGTTCTGTAGGTCAACACCCTTATGTGTGTTACATCAGTAGAAGCGCAGGATGTGCTTAAACTAACTGCATGCATAATGAAACAAAAATGAAATTCCAGGAATATATATTGACTTACATCGTTGTTTCACTGAACTGAATATATGTATTTTTTATTATAGTCTGTCTTTATCACAATACTAAGATTTAACATGTCTATATCCTGTCTCCCTCTCTCTGTTTAGGTAGGACAGACAGTTCAGGACTGAGACTGCACTATACCGCCCAGCTCCGGCAGCACGATGCGGGCATCATGACCACAGGTGTTTCCCCATGGACATCTTTGGCCTACAATATCCCTCCAAAAAACCCTGAATTTCACACCTACGGCGTGTGTAATACCACGCTCTTTTCAGAGGTATGGAATTATTCAGTATGGATTTCATGGAACTGAGACAAGTAAAGAATAACTATTTTTGCTTGTTTATGAACGTATCCCTGATAGTGTATACTTTCCAACCTCAGCTTCTCAATCCTGTGCCTGAACTGCAATTCTTTGCCGTGATGCTGCACACTCACTTAGCTGGGAGGAAAATCAGAGTTGTCCACTACAGGTAGGAAAGAGAGATATGCTTTATGTCAGTTAATATTAAAGTTTAAGAAAAAAAGAAACTTTTATTTTTACAGTACCAAATGCAGTATAATTGTTGGTTTCTATAAAGTATTATCTAGGGTAGTTGTGATTTGAAATAAAATCAAGTTTTGGCGCAGATTATACATTCTACTATTGTTTTCTTGTACAAATATGAACACTTTAGGAATGGAACACAGACAGGCTTCTTGGCCTTGGATGAAGACTATGACTTTGGGTTGCAGCAGACAGTCAATTTGGGGCACATCACAACCGTGAAGCAGGTAAGTCTCTTTTGCCTTAATGCACAGATGTGATGCCCATTTGTTGCACGACCATTTTTTAATAAGTCATTAGTTGTTAAAGTTAAAAACGATGATGTATGATGCCACATTTCTGTTCTCCCACTACAGGGTGATGAGATTGCAGTGGAGTGCACCTACGATACTTCCGATCGCACCAATGTCTCTATTGTGCGTAAATACAGTAGATACAGTCTGCTTTAAATTAAATCAGTATCATCAGAGACATATAAAGGAAAACATAGTAACATAAAGACTTGTATTGAAACAAATAAGAAGTAATATATTTCATGTATCTATTTGGAACTGTTACTATAAACCTCATAGTGGGCACCTTCACAATGACAAAAAAAGAAATGTTCCTTTCTTTACAAATAAATTACATCACAATTTTGAAGAAAAATAAAAACTGCTCAGAAGACATAAGAACTCATAAATCTAAATTATTGGAGTGCATGGCTGTCACAGCACCATACACTGTTTGAAATCCATTTGCTTGTAAAGAGAGAAACTCATGTCTCTGCCATGTTTCACGTTTTCCACGCTCAGATGGGGTTAGGATCTACTGATGAGATGTGCCTGGCCTTCCTATACTACTACCCTGCAATCAACATCACCGCATGTGTTAGCCACCCAAACACAGGGTACAGTATATATCTATAAGCTAAGACCTGATGCACTGATTCACATAATAGTTCTGGTTATAAAACAGCTTACATGCATATCGACCTTGAACTATTTGTTTCGATCAGATGTATTTAATTATGTTGTTTTGAAGTAGCTGTGCACTCATTTCTTACAGCATGTCTGAGAACAGCACAACTTCAGACCAGAATACGATTGCTGAGCAGGAAAGTTTAATGAAGAACCTCCCACAAATTCAGTATGCCTTCGATGACAAAGTAAGTAACAGTCTGAATTGTTTGACAGGGTTTTTTTTTTTTTTTTACTTGGATAACATAAATACATTTTGTTGAAGAATTTTTGTTTTCCTCCTCTGTCTGTCATTGCTTCCACCAAATATTATAAAAGAAGAAGTTATTTCTATATTAAACCATCTGGGTTGTTTTTTTACAGCACAACTACTCAGTGAACGCACATGGCACAGTCAGGGATATGATGGAGACACCTGTCACCTGTGAGACTAGCAACGCGGCCAGTGGACTCAGCACTTCCTGTAAAATGAAGCCGGCAGGAATCATACTTGTGTTACTCTACATTGCAATAATGTAACATGGTTGTAGGAGCAACAGTAACCATTGACATATTGATAAAGGAAGGCACAGTTGATCAAATCTATATTGTTTCAAACTTTAAAGAAGAGTGTGCATTCAGATGTCCTCCTTTTATTTTTGTATTGCATAGTCTTTACATATTGATTATTAGTCAATGATGAACTGTCAAATTGTTTAGCAACTGACATATTGATTTTCATATTGCGATTTACTGTCTCACTGTTTCTTTAAACCCTGTTTCATAAAATACAGAAATACCTGCCTGGGACCAATTAACTAGACACTCAATTTGTAAAGTAAAATGTTCCACTACCTACTTAAATGCATACTATACCAAGAAGTAACTGGAAGGAATTCAGCAATCAGTCATTGTTGAATATATATTTTCCATTTAGTATATGCATATGCCATGATTGTGCATGTAATATATCATGTCGGTTTTCATGTATTGTGTTATTTTTAATGCACTGTAAGCCTGAATGCTGATTTGTATAGTTTACAGTTATATAAAAGAGCATTTGATCATTTCTTAATAAAAATTAACAATCTTTAAGAAGTGGATGCATGTAGTTACACAGACTTTTCTCCAGGGGGAGCTCTAACATACTATGCTGCTTGTGTTGTGCTGTCAGGGAATGAATGTGTATGGCTAACCGACTGGTAGCTTTGGCAATGTTGTCACTATCAGAATGATATCGCAGCGGGACATAGGAGAACTGGCTCGGTTTTATACTGTCACTGATCCTAAAAAGCACCTGAAAGGCTACACTGTGTACAAAGTCACCGCAAGGGTAAGTAAAGAGATGTTGATCACTGTGAAAGCAAGGCTAATGCTAGGTGTTGTTAGCTGTATAGCTTGAGCTGTGCTAACCAAGCTAATATTATGCAAACACAAGCAACGTTGTTTTAACCTCTTCGGGATGAACTGGTAACAGCTTTTGTAAACAAAACTAAAATGTCTCTAACAGGTTCATTCAGACTATTTTATTTGTTGAAATCTGTGTTGTGTTTCACCTTCAGTAGATTGTATAGTTGCTCACATTAGCAATATTAGCCAAACTGAGTGAATCCTACCTAAACGCAGTAACCTCGGTGTTAACCGAAAGATAGCTAACTAGCCAGCTCTGTTCGTGTTATAGGTAGCTTTACGATGGAATAACACTTAGTATAAATTATAAAGCATCTTTAAGATAGATACAATTATATCTAGTTCTTTGTGTCATTATATTTGTGTGCATAATTTCTAGCTAAATGCCTTTTTATAAGAGGTATTTTACGTTGGAGGGGATTCTGATTTATCACAGATCTAAATGTAGAAATATCAAAGCCTGTGTTAATTCAAACCTACATTTAATAGCCAAATGCTCCGTGTATCTATCTCCCAGGACAAGGTGGTGCTAAAACTGAAACCATTTCAAATTAGGAGATAAACCCTAGACAAAATTCGCTTTAGGGCACTTTTCTTTTCTCTGTAAGAATTGGCTCCTGTCCCCATTGATAATAATTCAAAACTCCCAAATCAAGTGCTTGTGTAGAGAAGTAAGTCCTCTGATTATGAAAAAAAACATGCAACATTTTGAGCAGTGATTTTACAGAGGCATTGGCATGCTCCCAGTTCAATAAGAATTGGGCCCGGCGGCTTTTTCCTTTCTCTGCTGCCATACTGGATGATATGGTTGCTGGTGATGTCTCGTTCCTACACTCAAGACTTTCGTCATTCACTGTATAATGCTCTCATTGTCACACACAGAGCTGTGTCCCTGCTCATAATTGTGCCAGCCTCACAAGGAATTCATAAACCAGCACTGGCATCCTACACCAATGCATAGGAATCCTTCAGATGGAGATTGAGTACGTTTTTCTTCGTTCTTTTCCACACAGATAATCTCCAGGAAGAACCCAGAGGATGTCCAAGAGGTAAGACAAGCAACCATGACTTTGTGAGTGTGAAAGCTTTGGCAGAGTTGACTTTCTTGAAAGACAGGAGCTTGATGGAAATGTTCCCTGCAGGGTTGCTCTCACCAGACCAATTTAATAACATTTTAAAATGTGCAATTTTACAGTATTCATTCATAAAGGTTACAACAAATATCAGTTGCAAGTGACACTTGGTTTGTGATGAAACTGGCTGTGCAAGATGTATCTACCGCTATGTTCCTCATCCATACCCTTACTAATGAGATTATATAAAGGAAGGTTACCTGTTTTGACATTTGAAGTTCACTTTGTTAACGTGAGAATACTGACACTAAAGCTTTTACTGTCCACAGTGATATAATGTCTCACATCGTCTCTGAGGTCATTTTAACGATCAGTTTTGGCTCAAGACAACTTTTAAAAGGTTTAACAGAATGTTTATATCTTAACCTTCATCTTCATGTATCTACAAACACTCACATGAAGTCTCTCCTAGCATTTTTTACACACCAAGGAATGCAGTCTAGCCTGGAACCAGCCCTAATGCAGCAGGCATGATGTCAATTAGTGTGTGTGTGTGTGTGTGTGTGTGTGTGTGTGTGTGTGTGTGTGTGTGTGTGTGTGTGTGTGTGTGAGAGAGAGTGAAAGAGTTTGGTCTAGAAACGCATACCTCTATTATTGAGCAGTGCTCCTCTTAGGGAATAGTGCTCAGGTTAGTTCTCCTCAAACAGGGGTTAAGCAAACCGATCAAGGATATTATATGTGTCTTTATCCCACACAGTAAGGACCTACTTCAATCAGGTTTGTGTATTAGTGTGACTTGTGTTTTAAGTTGTTTTGTGCAAGATGGCGGTGAGATGAGTCTTTTATCTTGTCAAATGTTGGGAAAGGAACAACAGTTAGACATTTGATTCCTTTAATATATCAGACAAGTCAGTGCTGTTGTTAACCTTCTAAATGTGTGGTTTCAACAAGGTAATGAATTTGAATTATTCAGATATTTGAAAAATTAGATTACCTTTTACAGACCATTACAAAATCAGGTTAATATTTCAGGGAACAAAATCTATACGAGCAATTTAGTGAAGCTTTACATGTCTTCAAACTGAAAATATTGATTAGCCAACCCCTCCTTTTCCTTATCTTCATCCGCCTCTCCTCTTGCTCTTGTTGTAGATAACAGTATGGAAGCGATACAGCGATTTCCGGAAGCTTCATCAGAGCTTATGGCAGCTGCACAAGAATGTGTGTAGCCAGTCGGAGCTGTTTCCTCCCTTTGCCAAGGCCAAAGTCTTTGGTAAGAAATAAACCACTTAATTCTCCTGCATCAAACATTGTCCAGAAGGGAACATTGTTATTTAAAAAAGCCCTGTTGGATGTTTATTTGGTCATTTGGTACCTTTTTAATAATGTTTTTTCTTAGTGGATGTGTCTGAAGAAAGACTGTGATAGTGTCAGACTTCGCTGTAGTACAAGAACATAGTAGTAGTAGTTGTGATGACTGTCCCCTAGAGGCAGTTTAGTGTTATTACTTGGTCAGTAAGCACTTCTATCAGTTGTGAAGTCACTCTTATGTGTGTGTGTGTTTGTTTCTATCCATGCATGAGCAGGTCGTTTTGATGACTCGGTAGTTGAGGAAAGAAGGCAGTGCTCCGAGGATCTGCTTCAATTCTCTGCTAACATTCCCGCTCTCTATAGCAGTGAGCACATCCAAGATTTCTTCAAGGTACCCAAACATGATCCCAGACCCCTATAACTTCCATACTCACCTTAACATAACACTACAATCACTGAAGAATATGTTTTTCATTCTTTTTAAGGGAGGCGAGGTTCACGACGGCTCAGAGCTCATTGGCCCCGCTGAGCCCTTCTCTGACTTCCTGGCAGACAGTTTATCAGACTGCAGCTCTGACGGTGGGTTACATACAATAACTATTCCTCAGAATCCATTTTCTTTCTGCTTTACATGACTGTGACCTCACACAGAGATGTTTGATCATGTGTTTTCAGTTCAAAGAGACATAAGTGGTGCAGATGATCTGACTATCACATCTGAATATGGAGGTACGGTTTAATTATGGATACAAATAACACACACCCACAATACAGCTTGATTATATTTGCTATGACACTGCATTATTCTCATCCCCAGGCCCGTCCAGTGACAGCGACCTGACCTCCCTGGCTGTGGACTCAGACTCTTTGGCTGGGCTGGACGATGGCATGGCCTCAGGTCGCACCTCCCCAAACCAGCCACAAGGGGGAGCCTCCAACATTAGCAGCAGCTGCAGCCCTCGCTTGCCCTCCCTTCACGACCGCCGCACCCCATCTCCCTCCCCAGTGCCTGCCTCCTCAGCCCCTAACCCAGAGGTCAGCTGGCCAGGCCAAACGCATCTTTTCTCCGGCAGTCTGAGGAAAGCCAGAGGTGGGAAACCTAAGGACAAGAAGTTAGACTACCTAGACAGAGCCAGCGAGCTCATCTGCGTGGCTGTACAGAAGGAGAAGGAGCAGGACTTCCAGGCAGCGTTCTCCTGTTATCGCAGCGGAGTGGACCTGCTGCTGCAAGGAGTGCAAGGTCAGTTTTGGAGATAGCTGGAGAGAAATGTAGGCGTATACTCAACTAATCCATCATAGTGTAACCATGGATATATCTGCAAGCCATGAAGTGTCCATGAGCCAGATACTGACCCTCGCAGCAGCAGGGTTCTTAAGTCGATCTGACATTGGCAAAGAACCATCACTTTCACTTTGTGGTTTATCAGCTTGTAGAAGTGATATCATGCTGTTTTGACAGTGAATAAAATGCTTGCACAGAAACGTTTCCCCCTGCACTATAAAAACTGCTTCGTAAAGAAAAATGACTGACCTCACTCACCCCTTTTCAGGTGAGCCCAGTCCCACGCGGCGCGAGGCAGTGAAGAAGAAGACTGCAGACTATCTGATGCGTGCAGAGCAGATATCCAGTCAGCATCTGAGAAGCAACATGGGTCAGGGGTCAACGCAGACAGTGGTGAGTGGGAGGGAAATGCCAGTGGCCTGTATGCTGTCTATGTTGGATTATGCAAATCTGCTTTATGTGCATGCATCCACCAGAGACCTCAAACCACTCGAGACAGTACATTGGGTTTATTTCAGAGAGAAAATTACAGAAAAACTATCTATGTAAAACGGACACGGAATGATGCCCACTCTGATAATCATATTTTCAAAGACACTGACTATTCTTCCTCACATATGACTCTTTTCAGATGTCACAATAACTGATTAATTTGACCATGTTTAGATAATAAATCAGCCCACCATCATATATGACATTCCTTTGTTGTTGTCCCAGGCTTTGGGGGTGCAGTGCTGCCCGTCCAGCAGCAGAGGAGGCCAGCCGAGTCCCTCCGAGGAGCTGAGAGCTTACAGGGTGCTCGGGGTCATAGATAAGGTCAGTTCAATATTATAGAGTCATGCAACTTGCACCCATATTTTATGTTTTATTTATTTGGAATGCTTGGGTTGTGTTTGTATACCAAAAAGTGATTTAAAGACAAAAAACAATTCACTTTTTTGAATTGGAGGCTGGAATGTTCTGCTTGATTATC